CGTCAGTCACCTCACTTCCAGCTCCTGTGTAGGCTGAGCCATGTATGGAGCAGCTGGATTGGATTTTCTTCTATGTTGTATGCTCTTTCTCATCTGCCTTTGGCCTAAACTGAAAATAGACAGTCTGTCCCTATATGCTAGTAAGATAAAGTAAGATTTAAAAGTTTTTATGTGAGCCTCCTGCTTCCGAAGAAGCATCTCTTTCAATTAGTAAAGCAACAAGTGTACATTTCAATCAGCGGAATGTAAAAGCACTTCACCTCTGGCTCAGATTTCACGCACTGCCTGCTCTTCTCTTGTTTTATCGGGGCAAGGCTTGACTGCAACTTCTCATGAGCTCTTCAACCTCATTTGACTTCATATCTTGCCTTTTTAATACTGTGTGCTTTTGGCGTTTACTTTCTTTCGTTTCTCTTGAAACGTGAGCTGGATGCTTCACCCATCATTAGTAACTCCATACAGATCAATTTTTCCACATTAGCCATTATACTACATATGCAGCCTTCCATTATACCTACAATTGCATTTGTGCCTGCCAAGTATTACAGGCTTTCACAGTCGGGTCTCGCTGTTCAGTCAAACAGCAAATATTACAGATAAGCTGTCATTATTGTTGTCAAAAACAAAGCATGGTGCATCTGCAGGGGCTCTGACCCCTATTAGTGCTGGCTATTATTTTTATAAAGCTTTGCCATTAGCTGAAATTGAAATGCTAACCTTAGTTTAGTTTCATTACAATATTTGCTGTACACTCTGTTCTCGTAGCTTTTGAATGAGGCTGTTTCACATACAATCACACATGTGTATGTGTAACTATACTATATATATATACAGTATATATGCTTATTTCTTTGCATTTTTGTTTAATTTGGATGCTATGTGCAATGTTTGAATTATGAATAGAGTTTAAATTGAACATTTTGAACATTTGAACATTAACATAGCTATACATCATGCTGTTTGCTTTTGCAGCTAGACTGTAAAAACCTCATACCAATCTATGAGATGTGTCATTTCTGCTAACACAACTAACTGAGAGAGAGAGAGAGAGAGAGAGAGAGAGAGAGAGAGAGAGAGAGAGAGAGAGAGAGTTTTCAAACAGGTTTCTGCTAACATTCACCTCATCTGTGACTGGTCAGGCAACAGATAGTCCTGTCCCACGATTTAAGCCATTGGCGGAGTTACGCTGATGCTCAAAACAAACAGCAATATATGATATAACCTCATAAAACCAGTGTTTAGTTTCAAAGAAATGGTTTGCTTATACTTGTCTCTGCATATTAAATGAACAGAAAGTATTTTAACAACAATATTCTTCTCATTCTAACAAACCAGATTCATACTTTGTGCATCTCATTATCCAGTAATAAAGGAGATGCTTAATCGTCATTTGTTAACTATTGCTCATGGTTTAATTACCCTTTTGTCTCTATACTGTGACAAACTGCAGCTGTCAAATTCTAATGGCTGAAAAGCTTTCAACAATATGCTATAGAAGCACGATGGGCTCAATATTGTCTCCTCAAAGCTACAGTTCTGCACGATGCATTCAGCCTCATGCATTTCTTTATTCTGACGCATTTTAGGCTTATCTATAAATTTTATGTTGCTTTTATGAAAGAATATTTATTTATTTTTCATGTTTTGTTTGAGCAGCGTAGAGGAGGGTGGCCACACAGAATACCAAGCAGTGATAAAGGTCACAAATCAGTGGCTTTTATGTGAATTCAGAGTAAGACTTCATTCTTGAGTAGTCTGATATTCTTTGAGACAACATGCACTCACTTCTGTAGACCATTAGGCAGGTCTAATAGAAGGACTGACTGCAATTCTTTTGTTTTGTCCAAATGTTTTGTTTTGGCTGTGATTGTCCTCGATCTTGCATTTGAAAAAAAGATTCAAAAACCAAAAGATTTTTGGATTTGGTTAATGAGTTACTGTATGCGTTAATTGTTTAATGTTCACATATTAATTGACTGAAGCTAGAATTTTGGCTAGAATTGCTTTTGCAAAAATACAGTCACGTTGGACTTTGGAGCCATATGCTCAAAACACCATGTGCACTGCCTACGGGACGGGAAGCAAAGCATGCTGGGAGAAATAAAAGCAGAAGGGTTCATAGCACGACAAACTAAAGAGGTAAAACCTTATGAATATCAGTGATCTCCGTATTTATTCAACTTTATTTATTTGTTACATTTATTAATGCTTTAACTATGAATACTGTGCTTGTGCTGTTTTTCTTCAAAAGAAATGCCTCAGGTTTTGATTTTTTTTGTGTGTCTAATTCTATAATGTTCATTGATTTTTAACTATGCTGACGTGTCCAAATAGTGTTTGGGGCCACTTTGTGTGCCCTTGAAATGCTTGAATTTATATCTGGTATCCACAGATCTGATGGGAACTAATTCGATTTAGTAAAAAATGGCTGTAATAGTCTATTTCTTAGAAGTTATTTTAATTTCTCATTAAGACTCACCGCCTAGGGAGCAGACCCTCATAAACCTGCAGGTGCAGATGAATTGATGAAATGCGGCATGGATAGCACTTTATCAAATCTGGGAACTTCACCAAATTGTTATTTTAGGCAATCTATGTGAATGTTAACGGAACTGTTCAAAATCATTTCCATCTTGCTCATGTTCACTCACGCTGCACACATGAAGGTCTGTGTTCTGCAGCTATTCAAATCCTGATATGGTTAACTGCATTTGATGATCTTTTGCTTCTGTTTTCATTGTGTCTTCCCAGCAACATGCCTGTATTTATGATTACAGATGACACTGTCAGGCTCTGTGCGCCCTTGTGGATTAAATGACACACTTATCACATTTAAACTGAAGTAATTAAGCTTAAAGTTGAGGAAGAAAGCTTATTCTTCATTTATTAGAAATCAAACCACTTGTTTGGTCTCTTACGAGCGCTGCAGAATACAGGCAATAAAATACAGTAAAATGTCCAGAGTCAAAAGCACAGTCAAAACTTTCTGTAATGGCGACAGATTTATGCTATTGTGATTTGAAGCAGTGTTTTACTACAGTCCTTTCAGAGAAGATGATTTGAATTTCAGATGATCTGAAAGTGTATTAAAACATGAATGTCCATAATAAATAACACAAAATGTCAACAGGATTTAAAACCAGCTAAATGTCTTGTTATGCTTTCACATCAATATATTCAGGGAATGATACTTCTGTGAAACCATAAGTGCCATTAAAAAGATTTGGATAGTAAGATGTTAAATATTTTTTTCTTATGCTCATCAAGGCTGCATTTATTTGATCAAAAATACAGAAAAAATGTTTTTGTGAAATATTATTACAATTTAAAATAAGTTTTATTTTTAAATATACTATCAAATATAATGTATTCCTGTGAAGCAATGCTGAATTTTCAGCATCATTACTCCAGTCTTCAGTGTCACATGATCCTGATGATAAACATGATCAATTTGGCACCTGTGATACTTTTTCAGGATTCTTTGATAAAGAAAAAATGTAAAAGAACAGAGTTTAATCAAAATAGAAATTTTGGGGTGAATCATTTTTTTCTTTTTTGGCCATAGGGACACAAGATGCTCAGAACAGATTGAAAGCCTGTCAATCATAGTAAGCCTTACACTTTTGGTTAAAAAAAAATCATTAGATGTTCTATATTTGTCTACAGCACACCTGGTGAAAGAGACGGCACAAGAATCCAGATATAGACTTACCACATAAGCTGGAGTATCAACATATGCTGTTCATTATAAATGCCTAAAAATCTGTTTCACCATTCAGTCAGCAAACCATTTTGGAGTTTAAACAAAAAAAGTACCCTATATACTAAATATGCAATATATGCGATCGTATAAGAATAGAAATGTAAAGGAAACCATCACTTTCTCTTAGAAATAAATCAGTATTATGTTTCTCTTATGTTTCACATCGTTCATGTGTATTTTCTCTGGTTTTAAATTGGCTGTTGCTGTCCCTATCTTTGAACTACTTCTTTGCTTCAGTAAGCACATGCTAGCTTATAAGACCCCTCAGCCACCGGTTTCTTCTGGACGCAATGAAGTGATGCTATAACATAAGCACACTTCATGATAGGAAGATCAGATAACAAGGAGAAAAGCAGACCATAACAACTGAACCACACTGAATTTGAAAAGAGTTTGCGAGCCACTTGAGAATCTCATTAAGCTGGGTTGCTGTCTACACTTTCGATTTATGGAAATTAAGTTGGAGATAAGTGTCAGGTGGACTCTTATGGGTTAGTGAGTACAGAGAATGAATAGATTTTTATGCCTATATTAAAATCTAAATTTCTAATGACTAACTGGATAAATGCATTGTGTGTGTATGTATTTATGCATATATGATCTTCATAAAACAGAAAGAAAAAAAAACTTAAGTGTCCATAGTTCAGGAAACATAATCTAACAGTAGTTCTTAATATGTCACTTTATCATTAATATATATTTTTTAAACCATTACCTCTTTAACACAGGAAGAGATCTGTTATTTATCACTTCTTTACAGAAGTCCATCACTTAATAATAAACCAAGATAACTACTATATTAGCATCCATAACAGTAACTCAGGGTTACGCATGAATACAGCCAGGGTTTACTTGCTATGTGCTCCTTTAATGTTTCAAAACAGCATAGCACAAGGTCACTGCTCATAATGGATTTCTGAAAGTGCTCTTAGTGTAACAGTAACTCCATATTCTTGTAATAAAACACAAAGACGGACATCAGAAAGATCTCAGTAAGGTGAAATGAGTCCATTTCTAACAAAACAAAAAAAACCACACACAGCAAGAGATATTAGATGAGCGACATGTGTACCTGTGCATTTCCGTTTTCCATAATGCATTCTACCCCACTAGAGTCTGCTTTGTTTAGAGGGTACATCCAGTGAGTGAAGCTGATGGTAAGATTTATTTCTGCACCTCAATCCTGCTGACATTCACATGGCACACACACACGGAAATAAATGTCCCCCCCCATAAATCATGGAACATCCTTTACTGTAGCCTCATTACCTCCAATTAACAGTCAAAGGCTCCGGCTTGAATTCACTATTACGTATTGAATGCAATTAGATGCACAGTCAAAAGTTATCATTAGCTAAACAAATCACCATATTATTCCTTAAAACATTAGCAGTGAGAGTTTTTCAATCAAGCAACTTTCTTTACTAGCTCCAAACTGAGTTGAATACACAGCATTTTTGATAGATTGACAGTTCTTATACAATGATTTAAAGGAATTAGGCTCAAACGGTAATCATCATACAATTCAAAACACTTGGATTGAATATTGTTTCATTTGGTTGAATATAGGTTGGGAGATTTGATAGGCAGGTTAGTAGGCAGCAAGAATGTGATTATAAGGCACAAATGAAGGATATGATACTGATTGTCGTCCTTTACAACTGTGGTTATATCTAAATGCAAGGGCATGCAGTGAATTCCCTTGTTTTGGTTAACATTACACATCCAATTGAGAAGACAAACAGTGCAGACAGAAAAAAAACTATGATATTGATATAGTGCCATCTGCTGGTGCAACAAACTTGGCTAGATCTCATACAGGCAATAATTGTATTGATCTTTAACAAATGCAATTGCATTGCTCTTTGGGTGTATCCTTCAAAATAAGTTACTCTTTTTGCAATACATAATTAATAACATTATATTATGAGACACAGAATGAGGTAAAATACATAAGTGCAAATTTTAAATGCATTTCACTTTTGCAGGCATCGAGATTCAAGTTTTCTGGGAAACAGTAGAAAAAAGAAAAAAAAAACATCCCTGATAAGGAGAATCAAATCACAGTTTTACATAATTTCCCAACATGCAGCTTTTTTTTTCTTCCCAATACTGGTATTATATTTTCTAGCTGCACTTTAACAATCAAATGGGAAGGAGGAAAGGAGAAAAGACAGATGATAATTAAGAATACATAATAAAAGTTAAATAAATTAATTAAAAAAACATTTGCAACATGCAGCATTTTTAAATCAGATGCAGCTCAAAGTGCGTCACGTCAGAAAAGCTATTTTTTCATGCTAGTTTCATATGGCTTTGTATGCCATTTTCAAGAAACGTTTCCATTTAACGATTTAACAACAACAATATTGTAGTGTAACCGTGAAGTAAAAATTAATAAAAATTTTCCTTTAATACATCTAAGTGTACACAAGTTTATAATTTTCTTGGATGAAATATATATCGCATTTTCAAGGTATTTTAAAATAAATTAATAGACAGAAAAAACGGATAAAATCTGAATACAGTAGCAACGCAAAATCAGCCTGATCTCTCTCAGATCTTCTCAGTCTCTAGGAATTCTGATGGATCCGTCAGACTTTGACATTGCTGCCCGTATTTAGGAAGCCCATTGGCCGTGCCTTTCTTATTCCGCTTCTCAAACTCCTCCGTGATCTCTGCTAGAGTCCTTCCTTTGGTTTCAGGCAAAGCGAAACTGACGAAAAGACATGCCGTCACACAAACTCCACAGAAGGGGATGAAGCAGAACTGTCCCAGGCCCTTAACTATGAACGGAAACGCCATTCCTATGAGGAAGAGGTTAAGCCACATCATGGAACCGGCAACCATGTAAGCTGCGGGACGTGCCATTTGGTCAAAGAGCTCGGCGGGAAGGATCCCGGTGACCCCTGCGGGACCCATGCCAAAGCTCAAGATGTAGGCGAACATGCAGACCATACTCAGATAGGGCATGCCGGCCACTTTGCCCTCCAGCGAAAGAGCAACAGTGAAGACCACCGCCCAGCAAGCCATGAGCAGATACCCGCCTGCGAGGAGCAGCCTGCGGCCGACGCGCTCGATCAGGAGATTACACACCAGAGCAGACGTGAACTCGCAGGCACCCGTGCCGATCGTGACATACTGAATCCTGTCCGTTGGAATACCGGCTTCTTGAAAGATATAGGAGGCGTAGAAGTAAATGGAATCATTTCCACACAACATCATGGCACTGCTGGCAACCATCACGGTGCAGAGCTGCCTGCGAAGACTTCGGTCACTTAACAGCTCCCACAGCGTTTTGGCCCGGGCTTCGCCTGCTTCTGCCCGCTCCTGGAGGATCTCTTCCAGCTCATCAGTAAAAACGCTGCACGCTCGGAGGCGTTTCAGGGCTTGACCGCATGCCTCTCGGTCTCCTCGGTCGATGAGCAGGTAACGTGGGCTCTCTGGAAACCAGGGCAAAGTGACCAGCTGCACTACGCCGGGGAGAGCGTTGCTCGCCAGCAGATAAGGCCAGAGAGATTCACTCCCCAAAACTTCAGTCAGACCCATTACCTGGCCCATCAAGATCCCTAGAGCAGTGAAAACAGCAGACGAAAAGGCAACAGCACCTCTCAGGTGCTTGGGTGCACTCTCTCCGAAGTACATGGGCTGGACGTTCATACTAACCCCAGCATTGACCCCCACCAGCAGACGAGCAAGGATGATCATCTCAAAAGAGCCAGCGGAGCGACTGCACAGAGCCAGGACTGCGCTCACAAAAAGGAAGCAGTTGTTTAGCAGCAGTGCACCTTTACGTCCGCACTTGATAGCCATTGGGCCAGCAAGCAGGGACCCCAGAAGTCCCCCGAGTGAGTAAATGGAGACAATAAAGGTCCACATCAGTGTCACCTGACTGGCCTCAAGAGAGGTGCCCCATCTCTTCATACAGGTCTCATTAATGAACTTCTGCACATAAGCTGTGGGTGCATTGATGATTGAAATATTGTAGCCATACTGAAAAGTGCCACCAATGGCTGCAGAGCACACAGTTAATGCAAGAGTGCGTGTGCAACCTCCTCGCTTCATAGTGTCATTCATTTTTTTTTTTTTTTACTTTTTATATAGTCAGAGGAAAAACAAGCAACTCGCATGTAATATCTGTGCCATTATTAAGCAATTGTATATATATATATATAAAAAAAAAATCTAGCTGGAATACACACGAGCAGATCCTGGTGATCTCCTGTCATTGAACAGAGTGCTGCAGACTGAACTTCCTGAAAAATGACGAGAGTCTGTTGGTATTTCATAATAAGAGTCCCTTTTCAGGCTACATGAGATATATCCAGCTGCAGACCAGCAGTTTCTGAACCGGAAGTGAGGGGCGGAGTTATTGACAACGAGAGAGCACGGCGAGTAGTCTGTAATGTTCTTTCTATCATACGTTTAATAATTATCGTATATATTACGTTAAGCATTTATCTGCTAAGTACTTAATGTGTGCGTAGCTTTATTTATTTACAATTTATTTATTTATATTTATTATCTTATATTGAAGCTTGAATTTGTTGTCATACTTTATAGTAGGCCTATATAACATTATTCTGTGGATGTTTCGATTAATTTCTCAGATGCATGCTGTAAATGGGCCTTGCGGTGAAGTTTTGAAGACGTTTATTATTCATAAAAATAAATCGTTTGCTTTAATTCCCTCTGTTATATGCATTGTTTGTGTGTTAATATTACCTTGTAGTTGAGTTATTTTAATCCCATTTGTCATCACTGAGATAATTGTGTGTGTCTTCATCTCATATAAGGATTGAGAGAGGTGACCTGAGCTGCAGCACTGCAACAAGTGTTATAGTAACTACCAGCAGTTTTCTGCTTGACCGGCATGTTTAAGCCAGCCAAACTGGTCAAATTAAAAAGTCATCTTCAAATCCACTTCAACAAGGCAGTTGTCTGTGGAGGTATGAATATCTTGAGTTGTTTGTTTAATGTACTCACATTTTATTATTGCATAATAGTTTACCTGTGTACTTATTTATTTATTTTAGGCTATACTATACATTTTTGCGACCAATTATTGGTGTGATTATTTAGTTTAGGTTTTTTGGAGAATATTCGTATTTTTTGTTGTTTTCAAGTACGTCTTGTCTTGGGAGCACCCTTTGATTTTACATCTGTAAGTAGTTATCAGTTAAAGTAATTGACCTTTATGATGTTGTAGCAGTTGATATTTAAAGATTTCTCTATGTTTGTGTCTTCCAGTGTGACATTCCAGTCGTACGGAGACGGTGGACTCTTATACTTCCGGAGAACTTTGGAGATTTCTCTGAAAGGTACTGGACATTTCCTCCAGCACACCATTACATTTGCACCCCCTTTCTGACCAATTTGAAATTAACCAAGATACATGTATATTACAGTGCAGAAACCCTACAAGAGAGATCCCAGTAATCTGACAGAAGTTGTGAAATGGCTCCATTAAAACAGACAGCTGCTCAGGGGGCCAGTGGAAGAGCCTCTTTTCCTTAAAATGGAGGAAGAGGACAAGGAAAAGGCCCTCAACAATCTCCTGGAACAGAAGTTTCCAGAGTGCCCTTCATATTTCATCTTGTGTACAGGGGAGTTATTTTTGCAGGATTGTCATAACAAAATGGGCCTAAGAGTGAATTGTTCATTTGATACATTTTAATTAAAATTTATGCGAGATTGTCACGACAAAATGTGCCCAAGAGGGAATTGTTCATTTTGTAAATTTTCATGCACGATTGTCATGACAAAATGGGCTTAATAGTGAATTGTTCATTTTATAAACTTCAGTTTAATTATTGTGTACATTTTGATTGTTACTTTTAAAATTATGATGCTGATTCTGTTTGTGTGTGTGTGTGTGTGTGTGTTTTATATTGAAATGTTTTAGTTTTCATATAGAAAAATGTATGATGCACATGTTCTTGACTTTGGAGTAAATGTTTATTTTGAATCTTGTGATTAAAGTATATTTCATATAAAATTCCCAGAAGTTTCAAACATTATTTTTAATATCACAAAGGAAAGGAAATAACTCGCATAATACAATGAAACGAATAACTGTATAGGCCTACAACTAAATTACACAAGATTAATGTTTATAAAATGCTTAATATGTCATCATAAAATGCATACATACATAAAGCTTTGATTGAGCAGTTGATCAGTTTGAGCCTGGTCAGTACCTGGATGGGAGACCTCCTGGGAAAACTAGGTTGCTGCTGGAAGAGGTGTTAGTGAGGCCAGCAGGGGGTGCTCACCCTGTGTCTGTGTGGGTCCTAACGCCCCAGTATAGTGATGGGGACACTATACTGTCAAAAAGCACCGTCCTTCAGATGAGACGTTAAACCGAGGTCCTGACTCTCTGTGGTCATTAAAAATCCCATGGCACTTCTCATAAAGAGTAGGGGTGTAACCCCGGTGTCCTGGCCAAATTGCCCCCCTGGCCTTTGTCAATCATGGCCTCCTAATAATCCCCAACCACTTGATTGGCTCTATGACTCTCTCTCCTCTCCACCTGTAGCTGGTGTGTGGTGAGTGCACTGGCGCCGCTGTCCTGTGGCTGCCGTCGCATCATCCAAGTGGATGCTGCACACTGGTGGTGGTTGAGGAGAGACCCCCCATATGATTGTAAAGCGCTTTGGGTGTACAACAATACACAATAAAGCGCTATATAAATGCATCATTCATTCATAAAGTAAGACGTATCGTGTGTAATAAAAGCAAATCACCTCTTAAAAACCGTAAGGTCGTACTACTCTGTTAAAAACGTAAGCTCCGGCCCTCACTTCCGGTTCTGTGGCTGCTGGTGCTGCGGGTCTGCAGCTGGACACTATTGGGCTACATCATACAGTTCAGATGAACGCTGTAGAACGGCCTATACATAACTGATTACATGTCATCTGGATTAAGTAATTAAGAAGTATCATTTCTAAGAGTATCTTAGAATATTTAGAATAATAAAATTATTTTATTTTACAATAATTTAGGTTACCCCTTAAGCAGTTTAAACAAAAAGAAGAAAAAGTGAGGTGTGTTGTGTTTTTTGCATGGCTGTTGCATTATCATCAGAAATCAATATATATATAGAGAGAGAGGAGAGCAGCATTAGGGCAACATTATATATACACTTGACATGAGCACATAATCAAACAGGATTTAATGGAAAATCTGACTTTATTCATCACATAGAGCTTTAATCAATATTTTATCAGAACTTGGTTTCACGTTAGCCTACTTGTACATGTAAAAATCTGACCTGGATGCAAAACACATGATGAGCGTCATACACTTTCTGATAACTGTATCATCACTTCCATGAACATGTTTTTTTTCTTCATTATTCTGAAATAGATTATAAATCAAACTGAGGCTTCCTCCCCTATTTGTGTCTATGAACATGTGAAGTCCAGATTATTGTTAGTGTTTTTCTTTTTACTAAGACCAGTCTGCAAAGTGCCAGGATTTTCTTAAACAATTATTTTATGCATGTTCCTCTCTTTTCCCCCAGAAGTTAGAGGCAGCTTAATCCCAGATGTCCCAGTGTCATTCGCTCTTCCCTCTCTTCAGACGTCCCTCCAGTCCCGTCCTTCTCTTTAGGTTTGTGTAGAGGAGAGCAAAGTTTATGATGTAGGTTGAGACACAGACCACGCAGAAATCACCCAAGACGAATGCCAGAATAACAGCCAGATATACAGATCCAGCCACTGACACCCAAGAAGACATGACGAGGAAGAACGCTGCTCTACTGGACACCAGCTGGCCTGTTGATTAAAATGTGTTTGCAGATGACACTTGGTTTTATATTAGTGGTGAATTAGCTTTTGGGGGTCCCAGTACAAACCATTAGTGGCCTAACAGCACTTACCTAAACCCAGTTGCAATGCATAGAAAATTATTCCCAATACACTGTTCGGCTGGTTTAACAGGCTGTCTTTGGAAGTAAAGATCTGGACGAGCCCAAATCCACGTCCCCATCTGAGAAAGAGCAAAGTCCCACCAATCCATCAGTTGATAATGGATGTGTTTTGCAGGCAAATATTCACTGTTTGCAGGTTGCATAAAAACTTATTAGCAAAGACTATGGCACAACAACACTACTGTTTTTTTCATGCACTAGTTAATTGTGAGATTTACTGACTAATGGAAATGATGACACATTCAAAATACATGCTTACGTTTTCTTAAATTGCACTTGATCTATTTTCAGCAGTAGATTTGAATTACAATAGCCTGACTGGAGTTTTTTTTTCTCCTGCACTGAGCCAGAAATCTCTACTTTAGTAGCAAGCTTGGCCGTTTTATTCCTATCTATATTCTAAAGGTGTATACTACATTTTACATACATATTACTGCATATTTAATAAGGTAATGCATCATTTGCATATTTACACAATTCAGAAAACTTGAAAAAATGCTTACAATTCCTAATGTAATCCGTTAGCTGCGGAAGTAAGTCAGTTGCATCAGTTAATTAGTTACATTAGTTAGCCTACATATGACATTTTTACCCTATTCACCTGGGGTGCCTTGCCTTAAAATACTGTCTGATATCAGCGCGTGAACTGAACTGAACGCATTACCTGGATGTGAAGACTTTAGAGCAGCTCACGGAACGGCCCAGGTCGCACATCGCGCGATACTCCGGATCGCTCTCCCGGGACAGCTCGACATGTAACGCGTAACCCGACAGAACTAAACCCAGAAAACACAGGACGAAGCGGACGCGATGTTCCCATTTAGGAACTCCTCTAGAGGAATGGCTCGAGGAGGACATTGCAGTGACAGTGTTAAATGTTTTGACAAATTACGTAATTTACAAAAGCCTGTTTTGTAGGCTATACTTGCAGACTAAAAACTTGCTACTCTTAAGTGCAATTTGTAATTGCAGAATATGCTCGAGTTTGCCAGGCTCCCACCTTGAAGATATTGCAACGTGGAAAAGTCTGAGAGAAGAGCTGTGATTGGACAGAACTGAAGCGCGTGGCATGAGCGCTGTATGGGACGATGCGCTTTTGTCCTGCAGGGGGCCCCTGGAGGCTCAGAAAGTCCCTCTGATGAGACGCACTCACATCTCAGGACACGTTTTAGCACTAATACGATAAAATGTGATCGTTTTCGTCTGTTAGGTGCAAGGATTGGTACCTGTTTTAAATCTACAACAGCACTCTAATACTGTAAGCACTGATCAGCGCTGAGAAAACTATTACTGAGGAAACTACTTTTATAAAGAATATCTCTTTGGATTTGAGACTTTAGTTCTTTGCAACTTTACAGATCTTCTTTATGCACCAAGAGCTTGTAACACTCCAAAGAGAAAGGAACAATTGAAATCGCATCATATGACCCCTTTAAGAGCAAATTGAAAATATAAGTAAATATTAAATCTCGCGCAAATTTATACTGCTGTTTTGCTAATTAGCATTCTACTCTTTTTTTCTGTTTGTGTGGACGTGAGCACTTTGGACGGTGCAGATGGTCGGGAAGCAGACGGTTAGAAAAATAGTACTGACAATATAAACACTAACACATATAAATGTATGAACGTTTTTAAACACAAAGTGTGACGGTTTGGATGATTTATTCCACGTGTTCAAATTAGTAAACGAATTTTTTGTTGTATGGAAACCAAACATGCATGCATTATTTATTTATATCCCATATTTAAATAATAAATTAATTAATTCAGCACCAAATTTAGTACTTTATTTGTTTCCATAATATTATTATTATTGTTTTTCCTACAGGTTTGGACCTCCATATTGTTGTGTTTATAGAGTATGACATGTTATAGCATTTGCGCGTCTTTCTTATTTACACTCGAGCCGCCCAAAGAATGACCCTATTTTACGCTTCGAATGAGCCCGCCCCTTGAGCAGTGTCGTCGAATCTCATTGGTTGATCATCTTGCGATCATAGAGTCGATTGGTAGCTTTGCTGCCATTCAAACACAACACGGAAGAACACAAGGAAGTAAAACGGTGCTTCGTGATAGCAAAGAATAGACATGCTTTGAAAGACCCGCTCAGATTTTCCACTGCTTCCATATATTAACAGGTAATTATGACCGCTTTCATTACACAGTATTAGCCTTTTTTGGTCTGTGTTATTGTGTTACTGTGGTATTGTTGTTAAAGCTCTTTTGGGCCAGTTAGGCTCTCACGCTAATTAGGATTAATTGCTCACAAACGACAGCTACGCCCTGCTGGACCTGCAGTATGTTGTCCCATTACGAGCAATTACAGATGTGATGTCTGCTTCTCAGTCATTCTTGAGACGAGGGACAAAACAGGTCCAGCAAGGGTAACTGCTATTAGCTTAAAAAAATACAAATATTTTCAGTTATCACCTTCAATTTAATTTTCTCATTATTATACCAAATCTGTGTTTCTTAATGTCCTCTCACTACGTCTAAAACAGTGTGTCCACAGAGAAGGGTTCAAGCATTCATGTGCAATAAAATAGATAAAAATGTTTTTTTTTAATGATGAAAAAGAGCTTGTTTTATCAAAAGCAACACTTAATAATATCTCCTATCAAAGCAAGGTTGTTTTTTTAATGACACATGCATGTTTGATAAGATTTTAAAGTTGCTTCCCCACTTTTTGTCAACACCGTCAGACATTCAATAAAATGTAATAAAATCAGGGAATATCAGGGGCAGCTGTCACTCTAAAGGACCCCCTCGCCACAGTTCACCTGTCGACAGGCTCTGCTAAGTTTTCGTTTTAGAATATTTTAAATCCTAATGTTAATATTTCCTGTGTCACAGCCATGATATGTCAACACCATCTTCCAATTTCTGAGGAAATTATTTGAAATATTTAGATAATTGTATTCTCCTGAAGCAGGTTCCATTAGCATCTAGCATCTAGCATCAACAGAAAAAAAATCAAATGCTACTTTGTGAAAGAAATGCCAAAAAAAAAGAGAAAAGTTGGGAGGTTGTATCAAAGCATAGCTTAGTAGTACATTTAAGATACATAAATGTAGTTTCATTTCTCTGAGTACAAGGTTTTATTTTTTCAATTTTGCACCCTGTTTTGTCCCACTTCTCAAGAATGACTGATCTGTAATAATTTCATGGTTTCGATTATAAGCTGCTCGCAGCTGTGTGCACCTCGCATAATAATATTTCGTTTTATATTTGCATTATTTGAATTATGTCAAACAAACTGTAAACGTGTGTGTGTGTGTGTGTGTGTGTGTGTTACATGAAAGTGGTGCTGTTTTTGAAATACTGTAAATTATTGTCTTTTCTGTTACTGATTAATAGGAAAGATTAGTTAGACTGTCTGGCATGTCCAAGAGAAGTTTAGAAGGGTCATTATAATAAGCTGAACAGAAAGTAAAATCTAAAATCTTTAACCGTTTTCTGAATGTTTTCTTTCAGAATGTCAACCAATGAGAGGGACGAGACAAATGACACCCAAGCAGTGCCGGCCCGAAAAGCCTCCGAGGGCAACACTGACAAGAACCATCACAGAGGCGTTACAGAAGGTCCCTCTCAGCCTAATGATGACACATCTATTGTAACAGATGCAAATACTGTCGCAGATAAGAACTTGGCTCTGCTTAAAGCCCACTCCCTGGATGTGAAGTTTGAAGTTGGGGAAGAATATGACATTATTGAGACCATTGGTACAGGTGCTTATGGTGTGGTCTCATCGGCCCGGAGACGAGACAATGGTGAGGGTGCCAAGATGCATTTCAATGACTTAAAATAATTCGACTAAATCTTTGATGTCAGAATTCATTATTATTAATGACTATTTATTACATAAGTATTAATATACGACATTATTAATGTATAGTAGCAATTATTATTTTTATTATAAAATGATATTGATCATATTAAATAATAATTATAAGATTATAAATATCAAACTAAATGTCTTCTTGTTCATTATTATTAATTTGTTTACTAATATGCAATAAGTATATTTTGTATATTGATTTTATATGCAATTAGTATATTTTTAAGATCATTTATTGTAACTGGGGCTGTGAATTTAGCCTGTTAATTTAAGGGGATTAAAAAATCATTAAGAAAATGAACACAATCATGTTCCCTGACTTGCATGTAAATTTGTAAGGGGTTTTCTTACCATTGCAACACAGTATAAGTATATTCGGTGTAGAAAAAAATGCATATCATGTAGGGGTGGGAATCTTTTGTCACCTCACGATCCGATTCCAGAACGATTTTTGATCTACTTTTTACCCCTCTTTATTAATTCATTAGTTTACCACATCTAAAGACCAATATTCAGTTATAATCATAGCGCCACCTGCTGGCAACAGGATATGACTTGTTTTGCACTAACTTAAAACATACCATGTTCAATCTGCACCAACCGTCACATGTTTGATAAATGTCCTGGCTTGGAGAGATCTACATTCCAATATTCAATTATAGTTATAGCGCCACCAGCTGGCAGCAGGAAGTTTGGAACATATAAATGACTTGGACATATTCCTCCTATATTTAACACTTTAAATGCATATTGCTACATATTGCTGTTTTCCTAAAGCCACCAGGTGGCGGTGAGCCCAAGTGTGAGGGCCCATTATTTTCAGTCATTTAAGTATATACCTTTACATTAAAAAAATTTTTTATATCATAACAATTATACAATTTTGTCAAGTGTGTTTTAACTTATATATATATATATATATATAATTTTTATTTTTTTTATGTTTATCCAATTTTTCTCAGTTATTTCCAAGTAATGTCAATAATGTACTGATTCTCTCTTCCCCAGATGGAGGCTCTGCAGCTTTTGGTATCGAATTACTCCGAGGATCTGCTGGAGGTTTATCCTCATCCCTTTCCTCCAATTCTGGACCAGAGCAGAAGAAGCCAGTCACGGCCCAGGAGAGAAAACGAGAGAGGGAAGAGAAGCGGAGGAAGAGACAGGAGCGTGCGATGGAGCGAAAGAGGAAGCTGAAAGAGAAGGAGAAAAAGGAGGGAAAACAAGGCAAATCTTTGGGTGGCGTGTTACTCAGCGACAGCGATAAGAAGCTGTTGGAGCGCTGGGGACGAATGATGGACAACCGGGTGGACAAATCCCAGACCGCGGAAACCAATAGTGCCAAGACCGGTGAGGGTAAAAAGGTCCAAATCCAGCCAGCAAAAGGAAGCAAAGTCGTGAAGACAAACTCAGACGGGGGAGAATCAATGGCACCAAAACAACCCAACGAAGTGCAGGCTTTCAAACCACCACAAACACTGCCACAATTGGGACAGTGTTTGGCAGCTGGAATATTCCATCCAACTCCGACTCATGATGCACAGCCCGTCTCTTTAGGTTCAGCTCAGAATGGAGACGTTGGGATAGTTGCTGTAGGGGGAGGTGGAAGTGTTGGTGTGGTAACCGCCCCATGTGCCTTTGCCAAAAACAACATATTAAAACCTCAGTTTCTGACTGTTGGAACAATGTTCACTGGTCTTGAGAACTGGACAGGAACAACTCCACACCAACCCCAGAAAACCCACCAACCTCCACCTGAACTGAATAACCCCGCTCACACTGGCTTTGCGCACATGCAAACGCAGCCGAAGCCTGTCACGCATGCGCAGTCGCAGTCCAACGCTCACATCCATCTGCTGCCGCTGGAATCCTTTATGACCAAACCATCAGCTCTGAACCCCAGCATTGGCGTCTTGGACACCAGCACGTCTCGTTCCAATCCAGAGATCGGCAATGGTCCTCGAGCCCTGGACAAACTTCGTGTTTTAGAAGAGCGACAAAATGGCTCTCATGCGCAGGGCCCTTCAAAACAGCCTCCGGGAGCTGCAGCTCAACCCTGCCTTGGTCTCACTGACACGGGACAGCCGGCAAACTGCATCCCTGACATCCACACAGTCACACAGCAGCTCTCAAAGTCACAGGTGAACGTTTTATTTATAATACATGATCATGGGCCTTCTTCCAATATGAGCATATGGTATTTTTTATTATTGTTATGCATTATTATTTTCTTCCAGGTGAAAGTTTGTTTGCTTAGAAAAGCAAAACCTGTTATCATTTAATTTGAATTTGGGTTAAGATATTTATTTGGGTTATAGCGGTCAAGGATAACCTGGAACAATTAGAGAATTTTAAAGGGGTCGTATAATGTGATTTCTATTTTTCCTTTTCTTTAGTGTGTTATGTAGCTATTTGTGCATGTATAAGATCTGCAGAGTTGCAAAGTCTCCCGCAAAAGGATTTATTCTATCTAAAAGAGAAGGCTGATCCAGACCGGGTTAAAACGCCTCATTCAAACCCCCCCCCCCCACACACATCTCTATGTCACAATGTGGAAATATTAGCATAATGCCGCCCAAATGTTAACGCAAAGAAAGAATGCGTGGTTTCAGGAACCGCAGTAGTGTTGATGCAGCCATGTCAGGGAGACGCTGTGTTTCAGTGCGAAAGCAAAAGCACTTTATTTGGCCTTCCGGAAGTAGATGCAATGAGGAATCATTGGTTAAGATTTATTTACAACAGAACAGCACAACCCAGATGTTCGAATTTGTGCAACGCATTTTATGGACGACAGTTTTGTGAACCTAGGAGAGTAGCCTACAAGGCTGGCTGTGCACAAAGGCTATTTCTAAAAAAAAAAAAAAATTGGTCTATTCCAACTTTATGACAATCTGGCGTTTATTCTGAATCAGCTACTGTAAGTATGTTTTCTTAATAGTTTAAGTATTTTGCTATTGACTGTTCAAATGCGGAGTTTTTGCGCCGTGTAGAGTATCGCGTCGTGTGTGTGTGTGTGTGTGTGTGTGCGTGAGAGAGAGTACGGGTCACATCACAGTGGAGTCAGCTTTCTTAATCACGGCTTGTGTACTTTAAATACATACGAGTATCATCACAGTGTCTGTCACGCGACTCTGTTCTCCTTTCAGGCTTGAACTGATGGTAAAACTAAGGACATTACGTACTGTCTTTACATTTATGTTGATAGCTGAAGCTCGCGATTATGGTAAGGGGCGTTACGTTTCCGACGCTTGCTTGTGGTGTTCGGCCAATCACAATGCACTGGGTCAGCTGGCCAATCAGAGCAGACTGTGCTTGTCGGAAGGAGGGGCTTTGTAGAAAACGACGCGTTTGAGAGAGGCGGAGCAATGTGTTTTTTGAATATTAAAACATGGCAGCATATTCTGTTACACCAAATAATGATCTTTAAAATAGCATCATATGACCCCTTTAAAATAAATATTTGCAGGCTGGGGTTAACTGGAAATAAAATCTAGAAAACTATTTTGGCTAGTTACCAATGCAGCATTTCTCAGTTTCGTTTAGTTTAATTTGAAGAACTTAAAAAAACTAAAACTAATCAAATAGAATTAAACATGACAAGAACATCACAATTACTGAAGTTGTAACTAAAAGTGAAAACAGAAAATATAAAAATACATTTTTAAAAAGTCATGGAAATTTCTATAGTTAAGATTTTTGATTATTATTATTATTATTATTACTCATGCTCTGCTCCAAAATGTTGCATAAGCTAGAAATAAAGTAAACAGGGTCTAATTGTACAAAAATAATTATAATCACTTGAAAATATTCATTTAAATCATGATATAAAAATGTAAATCATCTCCAGTGACCTCTAAATTTAAAGTAAGCATGCACATTTTATTTTATTTTATTTAATAGTTGTGTGTAGCACCAATGTTGCTGGATGAGAAACATGTTTAATACTTTTTAAAATTGATTAAAATTATTATTTTTTAATTATTATTATCAGTATTGTTTTTAATATTATTATATATTATTTGTATTTATTGATTGTTTGATTATTTGGAAAAAAGAAACCGTAAACGCCATGCAAGGCATTGTTTTTTCTGTTTCATTATTATGTTTTATTTTTAGTGATTGATTAATTTATTGTTAGATTAATTGAAAATAAAACTGTGGCCCCCTAGAGGTCATGCCAGGCATTATTTTAATCTTTCTGTTTTATTTTCTGACAAATGATGTTATGCATGGAGGCCTGTTTCTAACTCAGGGTAATGAAGAAAAAGGTCATTGTGAAAATAAAGTAGGCTAACACTGTGAGACAAAGTAAAGAAATGAAATTGCAATTACCTTTTTTTACTCATGATTCAAACAAGCTTCCATACATATGGGCTCTGTGACTTACGTTTGGAAAACATATCATTTTTCCCGCCAGGTTGAAGACATTTTGCCGCCGGTTTTCTCAGTGACTCCTAAAGGCAGTGGAGCAGGATACGGCGTCGGCTTCGACCTCGATGACCTCCTCACTCAGTCTCTCACCGAACTCCAGCACTCTGACCTCAGGGAAAGGTCAGTTCAGATCCCGGTGACCGCAAAGTGCACGCTCTATTTTTAAACTGTACGTCACTGATCATTACAGTACTCGACTGTAACGTGCGTTTCAGTGGTCTCAATTCTCTCTTTCATTAGTCACAATGACTTGGCCCCCCTGTCTGCATCCCTGCTCTCTGATTGGCTTGAGGTACACCGCATGACCCCTGCTGACATGGAGTCACTTCAGCAGGAGCTCCAGCTGGGATCTCCCATGATCCTCTCCGACAACTCAACGCTTCCTGATACCTGATCAGTCCACCACGCATTTCATCCCCTTGTAGAACCGGTCGAGGGCCGTGAACAGAGGAACTTGATAGCTGTATTGTGCACAGTAGACAGAATATGTTTGAGGCTCCAAATTATTAAGGCCTCTACCTAGACTCTTACCCAGAAAAGTGCCTTTATCTTTAATGGGTTCGTATGCATTATTTATCTGTGCCAACATTAAAGTATGATGCTCTGTTCGGTGCCATTACCAAGCAATTCAGATCCAGGGAGAAAGAGTTCAGTTCAGCGGTGCTAGTGCCATTCATTCCCCCTGGAATATCAGTCCATTCAACTGAGTTTAGAGAATAATTCACTTGAAATAGCGACTTGTTTAGCAGACCAGTGTTTAAAGCTATTTTCTAGTGCACTACAGTAGGAGTCACCAGCAGGGCAGCAGTATTACGGTGGATGAAACACAGCAGAGCACAATGATATCATGACTGTAGAAAAACATTTCATTTGATGTTGCATGAATGCCTTGTAGAAAATAGTGAAACTTGCTGCAGCACATGCAGATTTGCTCCGTTTTACACCAGCAACAAAGAGTATCGTCTTGAATAAAGCTATCAAAGGGATTCGTGTGTTGTTTTTTAATAATGGTATTCTTTTGCATTATTTAGTTTTTTACAGTCAAACCAAATATTATTCAGATACCAGATTTTGAATTCAGAAACTGGATTTTTGATATTTTACTAGTGGGTGCAGGACACTGTAGTTCATTTATGTAAGTGAGGATAGCAAAATAAAGTAAACTGTGACATATTATACCCAAAAATTCTTCATACAATGGACTACCAGTGAAATATTTTTTATTTTTTTAATGTGCGACCAAAAATTATTCCCTTTGACCTGTCCATGTTTTGCTTAAGTATTTTTTTTTAATTGTAAATGTGACCTTTTTACACCACAAACTGAACAAAATTAAGCATTGCTTGGTCTGCTAAATGACTAAATGTAATTGGTTGACCTAAATTGTTATCTAATTGTGTACTTAAATTTAACAGCTGACAGCTATTCAACCTAATTCATAAAATTTCTATCAAAATTATCTGACATTATCAAGCTGAATTTGTTCTGACACAGTTTAACTCTTGAGTTCTTGTCATATTTTCTTACCATTTTATAAACTAGCGAATGATGTGAGAAATGTTGAAGGTGTCTGAATACATTTTGGTTTGACTGTATATACAGTGTCAAGCAAACATTTAAAACGGGACCTTTAAAAGCTCAGAACTCACTTTCAGACACCAGCGAGCGTCTGAAATAACTTCTGATTCCAATCCGATGGGATTCAGATCACAGTACGAGGCAGAAATATATTATTTATGGATTTAGATGCAATGCTAAAGGCTAAGTATGATAACCATTGCCATGATAAATACACATTCTTATGAAAATAGCAGAGACCACTTAAACACCATTGACAAATCATTACATGAATATAATCGTAAATAAACATGATTTCATAAATAGAAGGCACGTCGTAGTAATATGCAAATTGATTAAGCCCCGCCCCCTTTGTTACTCCAATTACTTTGTAATTTGTTAAAAATTAAGATGCTACATTTATCTTTTTTTTCTTCTAACTTAATTAGCTATGAAAAAATAACACGATTAAAATATTTTAACGCACTGACCCCGCCCCCAGACCTGTACGTCATCTTCCATTTCATAATTTTATATAGTTGAACTTGACTTATGATGCAGGGCAACAATTCCATTAATGCAGTTATGCCCTAAAATTCAAGATATTGGTGCAAAAAATGCCCCTATATGAGTTTTTGTCTCATATATACCAAAGCAATATCACACCAGTGATGACTTTGTCCCGAATATCACAAGTTTGAATGCGATTTTATACAACAGTTCAGTAAATAAGATGATATTGTGTTATATTTTAAACACAATATGTTTTTGCTCAATTTTGTAGAGAACAAATTACCTTTAAAGCCATAACAGAATTGTTGCGCATTTTAGTTTCTGAATGAATCAGCGTTTTGAACGAATCGTGTGAACCAATGATTCAAGGACTCATTCATAAAGAGAGCCATTTACTTCATTCCTGAATGAATCAGCCTTTCGAATGAATGAATGACTCCAAGACATTTACCACCACCTGCTGGCAGATTTAGTTTCTTGTTTAGAGCATCATTTCATAATAATAATAAAAACATTAAAGGGATAGTTCACCCAAAAATGTTTTATTCTGTCATCGTTCACTCACCCTCATGTCCTTTCAAACCTTTCTTTTGTGGAACATAATGTTACCAATGACTTTCATTGTATGAACCAAATATACCGAGATGTTTCTCAAATTATTTTCTTTCATGTTCCATAGTTTATGTTAGGCTGTTGTAGCCTAAATGTTTATGTGTAATAAATTATGTTGAATCAAAATATTTCTTTCTAAAGCTACTATTTGTAATGTCTTATTTGATATTTTTCTCATTTAACACAAAAATAGCTTTAAATAATCTTTTGTGGGTTTTTTCAGAGTCAAATTTATTTAGTTAGTGTTTCGACCGACAGCCCTAATAAATAAATATATATATGTATGTATTTTATATATATATATATATATAAATAAAAAGGTGATTACAGAAATTACCCCTAGAACCTGAATCAGTATGTAAATGAAATGTTACTTTCCCTGCGAGCGAAAAAAAAAATACTTATGTCGAATGCACATTATCAAGATTTTAATTTTGGGATTTTTATATAAAATTCTGATTAACCAAATACAAATCTTCCATAGACTTGCATTAAAAGAGCAGAACATGCCAGACAGCAACGGTTGCTATGATAGTATTAGTAATGCTAATGTTTAAAGGCAGGTCAATTCCCCAGTGTTTACCTCTACCATAAATATAAACATGCTAAATATATCAATTACAAAAATCACTTTATTACAAAGTTTATTTACAGCATTTTAAGAGAAAAAAAAAGGTCACCAAGAGATACAAATATACAACTGACTCTAGAAAAGCATTAAATCTTTCACATCATAAACATCTAATTGCACAGGTGATCTTAAAATCTTAAAAATTTGACATGTCCTGATGCAAAGGTAAATAACATTTATAATTGCTGTGCAAAAGGCTGGCTCAAATAAGTGTCCATTAATATTTTAGTATGCATCATGATTGTCAAACCTCACATTTGTTAAGCTGCCCACGAGAACCACTTGAGTGTTTCAGTTTAAAAATGGCATTATTTGCACAGTTTAATTACATGGTTTAAATCACCTCAATGTTAATCAGTATATAAATAGTGAAAAGAATATATTATTAATCAAGTGGTAAAAGACATACTTTTATATTTCATTTCAAATCATTCAGTGTGTATTTTTGGTACAAACCAAATAGGAAACTACATAATACATAAAGTTGTTTAAAAACTGATTAAAAAAAAACTACTTATGGCATTAAAATCTCTTTTTATGTAGGACGGTGTTTTGGGGCAGGAGGTGTTTGGCTTGTGCGAGGATCAGTGTGTGTTTATCTCAGCAGCTGCACTAATACCAGTAGCACCAGAGTCCTGATGAGCACCATGACCCGGTCAGCCCAGATGTGACCCGATGCGCTCTTGAGCTGGACTCCTCCAACATGGTTCTGGATGAAGTTAGTGAAGCTGGATACTTTGGCATAGACTCCTGGTCGGTTTGGTTTAGCACAGCCGAGACCAAAGCTCACAATTCCAGCTTGCACCCAACTTCCGTCACTGATCTGACACACCAGAGGGCCGCCGGAGTCGCCCTGAAAAAGCACACATGCAGAAATATATAAGAACAGAAGGGCATTAGAAGGTCCATTGGTATTTTTATTTAAAAAATCATATGTTTTCCTCAAGCAATGCTCTCCTCACCTGGCAGGAGTCTTTACCTCCTTGTTGGAATCCAGCGCACATCATGTCATGGCGGATGTCAATGTTCTCTGTGGGGTTTATCAGAAACATATCCTGACAAGTCTTCGAGTCAATGATTGGCACTTGGACTTCCTGCAACGCCCCAACGCCCTGCAGAGCAACTGAACAAGACATGAGAAACAACAAGATGAGTGCTTTTGTGTCTTTGTACTCCAGGGGTCACCAGACTCTGTCCTGGAGGGCCGGTGTCCTGCAGAGTTTAGCTCCAAGCCTCCAACCCTAATCAAACACACCTGAACCAGCTAATCAAGGTCTTACTAGGTATACTTGAAACTTGCAGGCAGGTGTGTTGAGGCAAGTTGGAGCTAAACCCTGCAGGACACCGGCCCTCCAGGATCAAGTTTGGTGACCCCTGTTGTACACACTGAAGGAACAAGAATTTCTTTATGCACTGCTTGTAGCAATTGCCAATGTTTCACACAATATACATACACTACCAATCAAAAGTTTGCAATAATAAATTAAAAAAAAAAAAAGAAATCTCTTCTGCTCACCAATGCTGCATTGTTTGATCTAAATTACAGTAAAAACAGTAGTATTGTGAAATATTACTACTAGTGCTGTCAAACGATTAAATCGCATCCAAAATAAAAGTTTTTTTTACATAATAATAGTAGTTATATGTGTACTGTGTTTATTTTACACATTCATTGTATATATTGAAAATGTTTACATGTATATGATTATATTATATATAAATATGTTTAATATATAAACATAACATTTTTGTTAAATATATACACAGGCATTTGTTTGCATTTATATATACACATAATAAATATACACAGTACACACTCATATAATATGTAAACAAAACTTATTTTGGATGCGATTAATCGTTTGACAGGACTAATTATTACCATTTAAAATTACTGTTTACTATTATAATATATTTTAAAGTGCAATTTATTTCTGGGATGGAAATTAATTAATTCAGTCTTCAGTGTCACATGATCCTTCAAAAATCATTATCGATTACTATTGGTTCTTAATTATTAATAATGCTTCTTATAATTTTTAAATGTTGAAAATTGTTTTTGTTGCTTAAAGTTTAGTGGAAACCATGATCATTTTTTCTGGATTCTTTGAATAGAAAGTTCAAAAGAACAGCATTTCTTTATAACGGAAATCTTTTATAATATAATAAAAGTCTTCACTGTCACTTTTGATCAATTTAATACATCCTTACAGAATAAAGGTATTTGAATCAATTCGTTTTAATCTTACTTGGCCCACACTTTTGGTTACCAAAAAAAAAAATATATATATATATATATATATCAGTGGTGGGCCGTGCATTTTACACCTAGGCCTTCAGTGGCGTCCTACATGAATTAATCCATCTCTTCATACCATATATATATATATGTGAAGACATTGATAATCAGAAATGTTTTCCAAGTAGTAAATCAGCATATTAGAATGATTTCTGAAGGATCATGTGACTGAAGACTGGAGTAATGATGCTGAAAATTCAGCTTTGATCACAGCAATAAATTACATTTTAAAATATTTTGAAATGTTAATAATATTTCACAATATTACTGCTTTTTTTGTAAATTTGAGTAACTAAATGCAGCCTCTGTGAGCATTAGAGACTAAAGGTCTTTGCATACGAAGTCCGAAATTTGTGCACGTTTAAAAATAAATG